GTAACATTGGTTTTGCTTTGTTTCACAGAACTAATATATGCTGGCTTTTGCTTGAATATGCTCGTGTGTCATGTTCGTTTGTTTGTTCATCTGCAATCGTGTTGTCGTTCCCTTCAGCTATGATAAAGACACATTCATTTCCAAACCCTATAAGCCTGGAGCGTCTAAACCTCCTCCACTGTCTGTTTCAAGCGTCAGCTCCCAAAGTGTGTCCGAAAAGTAAGATAATATGTTTAATACAGCAGATAATAATACAGCAGATTCTGCCATAATCGTTGCCTGGGTTGCGTACATATGTGTGGGGCGGAGCTATCGAGACCCTTTTGGGGTAGGGGCGTGTTTGTTTTGGTGATTTGAAATATCAACATTGGCTACCAGAAATCACTTACCCCACCTTTAAGTACAGCAGGTTTGAAATGGTACAGTGTCATTTCCTGTGAAGCTGGACCAGCCTATATTTAATTTCTCAACAGCACAATGTTGATAAAGAAAGATTGCATGTGATTGCATAAACAAGTTCTGTAAGGGAATAAACCTAATTATTGAGCCACCAACATTTCACAGAGACAAATATACTTCTAAACACGATATCATCACCTCATGTTGTGGGTAACCTCACCATATTTGTTTTGGAAGAAGGAGGGGGCAGAAATGTGAGATGTTCTCCATGCTGTTGAGTTTTGAGCAGCGTTGGAGATGGATTTCTCCTCTGGGTCTATAGAAGGCAGCAGGCGCTCCAGAACTTCACGTACATGATGGAACCTCAGCTCTGACAGACCCAGGTCCTTTAACTTTACTTTGGGCTGTGAAAACAGGCCAGTTAGCATTTTTAGTATTGCATTTTAATTTTGTATTATTTTATAAACATTTTGAATGTTTTTATTTTTATATTTTCCATTTTCATTTTCATTTTTCATAATTGTTTTTTTAATATATATTTTTATATGTCTATATACTATAGTTTTTATTTAGTTAGTTTTAGTTATTTTAGAACATCAGGTTAAACTAAATAAAAATAAGAACTGTTGCACTGGTAACTAGCTCCAATAATGTCAATTTGTTTTTTAAAATTTATTTCAGTTTATATATATATATATATATATTATTTCAAGTAATTAAACTGGTTTGCTTTTAGTTAATTATAATAACCCTAGTGTAAACAAGAACATGCACATGATATATAGCAGTGTGTGCTGTTGTCGTGACTGTCATACCTCACCGAGAAGTGGGTCATGTTCAGGTGAAAGGTCTCTCTGTAGACTCTGCACTGATGTGGTTAAGGCCGAGTTGGCTGAACTCTTCAGGTACTGGACCACATTGATCAGATGGGTCAAAGGCACTGTTCCCTAAAAAAAGAGAACATGTTGGTCACATTGCATAACCTAGTGTGGAAAATACTGGTTAGCAAATAAAAGAATAAAATTGCGATATTAGATTGCCAGTCCTTAAATGATCATATAGCCAAAGTGTCTGATAAGCTCTCTATATATGATTGCTAGAGTATGCTGGCCTGTAGTCAGTTATGTCTCTCCTGACATACTGACACACTACTGAAACTTCCCTCCAGACACGTAGGCCTACACACTCAGTCTCTCTATTAAAAAGCGGTTGTTGTTGTATATTAGCAAGAAGGTACTTTTACATAACAATGTCATCAAAAAACACGAAAATTAACTAAAAATATAATATATGCATGTAGAACATCTGTATAGTATATGTCCAGACAACAGTGAAGAAAAGCTAAGAAGAATCTCAACAGATGGAAATGAATAGTCAATCAGATGATGTACTGTAATCTGTATGAAGAGTGACTACAGTTCTATACAGCGTCAAAATGAACCATCAACAGGATGTTGTTAAAATAAACTTTTAACAGTAAATGATATTACTGTTTTAAATATCTTATTTTAATCAGATGACATTTACAAAACCAATGTTTGTCATTAAGAGTCTCATTGACACTGTTCTGTTTCTCTTTCTCGTTCATTATTACTCGCTAAAGCCACTCATTTATTCACAAAAAGGCCTTTGACAATAACTATGTAAAACAATTAAATGTCCTCATACCTGCGACTGAAAGGTTGTAGGATCTGGGTCTATAGAAGGCAGCAGGCGCTCCAGAACTTCACGTACATGATGGAACCTCAGCTCTGACAGACCCAGGTCCTTTAACTTTACTTTGGGCTGTGAAAACAGGCCAGTTAGCATTTTTAGTATTGCATTTTAATTTTGTATTATTTTATAAACATTTTGAATGTTTTTATTTTTATATTTTCCATTTTCATTTTCATTTTTCATAATTGTTTTTTTAATATATATTTTTATATGTCTATATACTATAGTTTTTATTTAGTTAGTTTTAGTTATTTTAGGACATCAGGTTAAACTAAATAAAAATAAGAACTGTTGCACTGGTAACTAGCTCCAATAATGTCAATTTGTTTTTTAAAATTTATTTCAGTTTATATATATATATATATATTATTTCAAGTAATTAAACTGGTTTGCTTTTAGTTAATTATAATAACCCTAGTGTAAACAAGAACATGCACATGATATATAGCAGTGTGTGCTGTTGTCGTGACTGTCATACCTCACCGACAAGTGGGTCATGTTCAGGTGAAAGGTCTCTCTGTAGACTCTGCACTGATGTGGTTAAGGCCGAGTTGGCTGAACTCTTCAGGTACTGGACCACATTGATCAGATGGGTCAAAGGCACTGTTCCCTAAAAAAAGAGAACATGTTGGTCACATTGCATAACCTAGTGTGGAAAATACTGGTTAGCAAATAAAAGAATAAAATTGCGATATTAGATTGCCAGTCCTTAAATGATCATATAGCCAAAGTGTCTGATAAGCTCTCTATATATGATTGCTAGAGTATGCTGGCCTGTAGTCAGTTATGTCTCTCCTGACATACTGACACACTACTGAAACTTCCCTCCAGACACGTAGGCCTACACACTCAGTCTCTCTATTAAAAAGCGGTTGTTGTTGTATATTAGCAAGAAGGTACTTTTACATAACAATGTCATCAAAAAACACGAAAATTAACTAAAAATATAATATATGCATGTAGAACATCTGTATAGTATATGTCCAGACAACAGTGAAGAAAAGCTAAGAAGAATCTCAACAGATGGAAATGAATAGTCAATCAGATGATGTACTGTAATCTGTATGAAGAGTGACTACAGTTCTATACAGCGTCAAAATGAACCATCAACAGGATGTTGTTAAAATAAACTTTTAACAGTAAACGATATTACTGTTTTAAATATCTTATTTTAATCAGATGACATTTACAAAACCAATGTTTGTCATTAAGAGTCTCATTGACACTGTTCTGTTTCTCTTTCTCGTTCATTATTACTCGCTAAAGCCACTCATTTATTCACAAAAAGGCCTTTGACAATAACTATGTAAAACAATTGAATGTCCTCATACCTGCGACTGAAAGGTTGTAGGAAGAGAAAACATATTTTGCTTAGATTTTCGTTGAGAGGTTTTCTTGAGCTCCTGTCAGATCCGCTGCTCTTCTGTTCTTAGGTTATGAGCACCGGTGTTGTTAATCTCACCGGTGACTCCACCCTTCCCTTTGTAAACATAAACACAACGTTGTTAAATTCAGCGAATCCATCGCTATTACATACGTCTTCACTTCTTCGGCGGTGGTCTACATCAACAATCGTTGCATTTAGTGCTGCCTGCTGGACAATAACGGTAAGGCGCGAAAAAGTATTTTGCTAAATGTTTAGTTCATTACCTTATTAACAATTTTTAAATCAACTATAATATAGCATCATAAAATAATCACATAACAAGCCAATAAAATTACAAACGTTAGAAAGATAAGAAAACGTCACTCAGTCATTCAGTTTTGTTCCATTTCTTATTCAGATCAAAATAAACATTTAAAATGAAGTGAAAACTACCACAAAGGAGGATATTATAATAGGAATATCGTGCCTGCATTATTATCACAGTAAAGCAAGCCCAATGTTCTCTCTTTAGCGTCCTCTAGTGTCCGCATAGCATGTGGCAATCTATGTGGCAATGCAGCGCATGTAGTGGCTAGGTCTTTGCCTGTAAAAGCACAGGATTACGATCTTTGTTATATTTATTTATATAATAATACACCACTGTGGGAGGCACAAATATTGTGATAACATACAATTACTCTATAACCAAAATGGCGTGTTGGAATCGTCTGAAAACGTTAATTTATGAGCTAAGCGATTGGTTAGCTTTACTTCCGGGTTAAAATTAAAGACCCCCACAAGAAAATAAACCACCTGGTTAAATAACATTATGCCGTGAAAGGCATATTAAAAAAAAAAAAAAAAAATTCCCCGTGCTCCATGCGCCCAACTGTCAGTAAAGCAGTCAAAATAAATATAATAAAATGATTAAACAACAAGAACAAAGAATTCACATTATCACAATTTACAATTATATTACTATAAGACTAAATTGTTTACATAAAAGGCTTTAAAATGTCTTTTTTATTTACATTTATTTTTTGTTTAACACCTTTTATGTTTTTATTTCTTATTTATTAAACAACTAGTAGGATGGTGTGAATTTATAATCTCTTAAAAATCGCCTTGGATTATTTCAAAAGATCAATTTTCAGAACAGCAATTTAGTGTTTTAATGGGATTTGCATTTATTTACTTCACTAACAGCCGTAAAAAAATCAATAAAACATTAGGGAGAAAAGGGAAATTGTGAATAGTGTGAAATATTCTCA